ATGGAATAGTCAACTGTTAATCAATTGACATTCAAATGATAATTCTATATTGATAACGTTTAATCAAACAATCAGTGTAATTAAGTTATTATTAAGCAAATAAGAGAATGTTGAAACTTACAATGTATTGTTGAAATGTAATGTTCAATCACAATCACATAACTCTAATCTCTTCAGGAACATCAATTCTCATCAATGTTACTGACAGATATCTCTCATTACTTGATGAACAGTACATCTATGAATCTATCTCTTATTGGTTTATCATACACAACACATACTTCCTTAATAGAAGAGTACTGTGAAGCATCTTCATCTCTCTTCTCTATCATCTTCTCTCTAACGGTAATCCTTCACCAAAAAAATTGTTCGTTCTGCTGCATTCATATTCTGTGAGAAAGTATAGTGATGCTGTTTTATGGTCGAACATTAATTCAACCATTGGTAGAGTAGTACTAAAATCGACTTTAAATCTGTCCATATCCATTAGATGAATTAGAAACCACGTATCTTCTGCAGCTTATACGATTCTCTTCTTTTCCTTTTTACTATAGATTGAGAGATAATCCGCTGTCTCTTTGGCAATGTCATTAGTATGGAGAACAATGGGCCAATAGGCATCTGACCAGAACAATCTCAAATCTTGAGTATATTTATTAGTTGAAGGAGAAAAGAAATCTCATTTGTCTTTGTTCCTCTGAAGCATCATTTCGAAATTCTAAGTCTTTTCTCTCAAAAATGCACGTATCTTCCTCCTCCCAACCTCTTGCCCTCCCCCTACCCCCAATACATCGAAATACCACAAATCTTTATGTCCCACACACACACACAACGCACTTTCGACAAACCCCGGCGACTTTTTAAACAAGCGCTCAATTGTCACAAATTGCCGCCCAAAACTGATTATAAGAAATTTTGAAAATATATTTAATTTCCTATACGCATTGACTAAATCAGTTGGCCCCTTGCATTTGTTTTCACTTTTACAAGTTGTCTATGATTGATAAAGAGTCGATAACAACTATTCTCATTCAGTTTTTTGTTAGTGAATGAATCTCTGTCTATCTATCTGTGTGTTCTATTTCATATATTAAAAATATATATATATGTTTATTGATTTATATGGTGAGCAATTGGAGAAAAAAAAAAGAAAGCTTACGAATATATTACTTGCAATGAAATATTTATTATTTGCTTACTTCTATACACATACTCTCTAGGTTGATAGATTGTAATGTAAATGAGGCAGAGACAGAGCTTATGAATGAGAACAATAGGAATATGAAAAATGTTTAACTAATCAAGCTTTCACATTGAAAATTCATGAATCTAGCCCATCTAATTGTCTGTCTAGAGATAGTTGGCATGAATCATTCGTTTGATCTCAGACGGCTGGCTCTAATGACGGAATTTCATGCCTCATATCTCAATAGTTGAACGTCTTATTGAAAAGAGAGAATGAAAAAGACATAGAGAGAGAGAGAGAGAGAAAGATCAATTCAACTATCTATTCATTGTGTGTGGTTAATACCAACTTGAACATATTGAGAAAGAAATGCATATGTTGTAATCAATTGTACTCACCGATAATGATGTCATTTCAAACAATCATGACGATTGTCCTATATTCACACGCTCACAGACACATACACACGCATATATAGAGTAATGTAAGTCAAAAGCTCTAAAGATTTATTTATATTTAGTCACATAAAAGAGGATTCACACAAAATTAATGGAGAAAATACGGCAAAATGTTGATTGACATTCTCTCACTTACATTATCCTATTGTATATATGGCACATGCACACATACTCTCACATACACATCTACACATGTACACATCTACACATGTTGAATCCTTTTTAGACTAATGCTTTTGAAAGAAATGTATTTTCAACAAGCCATATTGTTGTTATGCAGATGGCAATACTCTCTTTCTTTCCATCTAATCCTCTCTCTCTCTCTTCATTTCCTTTTCTCTCTCTCTCTCTCTATATCTGACTATCTTTTTCTTTTTTTTTTTGCTTCACTCTCCTTTTTTTAAGAGAAAATATTCTAATATCATGAGGGACTTCCCTAGAAGGGGGGATGTTATGCTTCAGTCTTCACATTATCGATTTTGCACTCGTGACAGCTTGCTTTTCTTAGCACTCTCTTAAAGAGAACTTTTAACCTTTCGTTTGAGGCTCGTTATTCTCATTGAGTATTCTCATTAGACTCTTGCTTCTCTTCTTATTTATAACAATTCATTAGTTAGTGTTAGAACAATGATGAAAACTGAGAAAGAAGATGAATTTGATATTGTCATTGCTGTTGAGACAATGCAGAATATATACCTGAAAGATGATTCAGAAGTATGTTTTTATATATTATTTAAAAACATTATTTTAATTATCTATATTTAAGCCTGATATCATTAATCCATTCACTGGTGACAGAATGTGGCAGCCAGAACTGTTTCAAGTTGAATATCTTAAACAAGTATGTTCTATACTATTCCTATCCACCTCTTCCTTCTGCTCAATTTATAAATACGATAACTATTTGTCTTCTACAGATTGATTCGCCATTAAAGCTGGAAATTATTGATCCATTCACAAAACTTAAAGCAGTAGTAACTCCAGATGACAAGCATCAACCAATTGAATGCGATAATATGTTTGTTTTCACTTCAATTTCCATTTTTTCAATTAAAATAAAAGCATTTTCAGAAATGATAGTGACATTTCGGATGATGATGGAGAACATAGTACTATTGAGTATGTAGATAATATACTATACTATATAATATATATATATTTATAGATTACAATTGATGTCTCTATTTGAATTCAGTCAAACAAGCCCATCTGAATTACGTAGCATTGTTATTGAGAAAGTTGATAGACTGAAGCTCTTTTCATTAACACGTCAAGGAGGTATCAATAGAATTATAATTTGTATTATGATATGGATGCTCATTCAAAGGATTTCCTGCCATGATGAGGCCTGTCCTATGGTTCAAACTGAGTGGTGCAGAACAAAAAAAGAATGCATCTCGTTTTTCATATGAGAAATTGAATGCGCAAGCTAATACACAGCAATCATTAAGAGGTTAGATGAAGGGCATTATTGCTTTTTCTTCTTTTTCTTTTTTTTTTCTTTTCACATGAAATCAATATCTCTCTTTGAAGCTCGTAGCCGGACTATACATCTGACACTAGCCTACTCTAGCATCTTTGAAAATAGCTCATCCAATCCAATGAAAGCATTGAAAAAAATATTGAAAACACTGTCCTATCTCTATCCTGATGTTGTAATATCCAACAACATCTGTGAGTTTATACATCATTAGACCACCCAGGAACATTACACTTTATCTGTATAGGCAATATAACTGCTTTTGTTCTTCTTGTCTGTCACGAGGAGATGACCTTCTGGATTATGTCGACCATTATCGAAAATCTCATCCCAACGCAATATTTCAGTTTGAGTGAATTAGATGTGGAAGTATACATTTAAGATGATAGAAGAAGGAATCCTTATTTAACTAATTTAGGTTGACAACAAGGTCCTTATTGAGCTTATGAAGATACATGCGCCTGAATTGTTGAATCTAATAAAGAGACACGATGAATTGGTGAATTGATACGGAATTTCCTTCATCATCATCATTTTCTTGTAGTTTGAAGATGCATCCAGCCGGTGGTTCAATAATTTATTGACTACAACTCTACCAGCTGACTCTCTCCTGAGATTTTTGGATCTGTTCTTCATCAAGGGATCGTGTGTTGTTTTCCAGGTTGGGAGATAACGACAAAGAACAATCAAAAGAGTTATCGTCAAATCATTAAGGCTGTCTTAAGTTTATTGAAACTGAGGGAGCGATCTTTGATATCTGTCATGAATCAAGAGAATGTACATGACCTTCTGCCGTTTGAATTGTTTACACTAGGATTCTCGGTTAATGAAGAAACATTCCTTTTCCCTCATTTAACATACTTTTGCAGTTCAAGAAAAGGAAGAACGCAACTTTCTTTGAGTACATGGCATCGTTTGAGTTCTCAGTAACGGATGATACTATTCGAACCATGAGAACGCAGTTGAGAGTATGTTCCCAGAGCAATATATCTTCTACATAATGAATATTCAGAGTGTACTCAAAGAGAAGAAGGATTTAACTGGTGGTGCTTCATCTCATTTAGTCAAGAGATCCGTTGTGCCAAAATCAATGTTTGACAATGTATTCACAGACTCCTATAAAGAGGTATTGATTACCAGCTTATGAGGCTAATTCTCTTCTAATTCCAGAAGAACGAGCAGATGCGTTCAAAGAATATAGTTCAGACAGAGATAATGATTAAAGTCAAAAACAGTGTTAAGAAAGTATTAGAGTATTTTGAGAATAATCATCCTGAGCCTTGGAATATCAACTATAAGGTCAGGCGGCTGTCAGTACGAAGACATTTTTAAATTTCAGGCTGATTATACGAATATAACTCTTCAAGATGATAAGAACGTTTTCTTGCAAAGACGTGGTCGAGGTCCTAGGAAAGCTAGAGCTATTCTTGATTTTGCCAGACAAGATGGTGATGATCTTGGATTTAGGTTCGAGAGAAGAGATAATTGGTTGTATAGTATATTGATGTTTTCAGAAAGAATGACATTATAACCATTATTAGTGATAAAGATGAGCATTGCTGGGTTGGTGAGATAAATGGATTACGTGGATGGTTTCCCGGAAAATTCGTACAAGTTCGTTTGTCTGTTATTCAATTTGACATTTTGATTTTTGTTTGAGTCAAAACAAAAAACAAAAAATTGATATAAAACGAATTGACAAAGGTTGTAAACAATTAGAAATTCGAAAAACAAGAACAAATTCAGAATTACTTTTTTTCTTCTTCAAAATATGATTTTTCAGATTTTAAATGATCAGGGAATGCAATACGCAAAAACATGCGATGGTTATATTGATGCTGGATTTCAAGCTTTAGTCACATGTACAATGATAACTTGTATGATCGTTTTTGCTAATGATTATCTTTCAGCTCAAGTTGTATCTGCGTTAGAGACAGTCTTCTCTTATGGAATGAAACACAGAATCTTTGGGAATGTTGCTCATCCATGGGATTTCTTAAGTATCAGGCTAATGATAACATTCTCTTGTCCTATCTCATCTATTTCAGATTCTTTCTGTAAAAGTGTTATAATGGAGCATGGTCGTAAAATTTTGGCAAAAATCTCGTTGTCCAACTCATTTCGGCTGCAAGAGGATACTAGAGTGATCTTTGGTTGAACATATATTTATTCAAAAAAGATTAATTTCAGACATTCAAGTGCTTGGATCCTCTTGATTTATTACTTCATTACTATAACTTAGTGATTAAGAATGAACAGAGAGGTCCATTGGATAAGAATAAGCGATTTAGGTGAGAATATTGAATATGAATTTATTATATTCATGTTTAGAACATTAATATATGCTGGATTGAATGAGCAATGTCTGCATATATGGATGGAATTGATTTGTACTTTGCCTGAACAGGAAGCTATTCGTGCTAAATACTATGACAACTCATCCATTATCCGTAGTCCTGCTTGGAAAGAGGTACATAAATCTACATGAATGAACCAGATGTTTGCTTTTTAACATGACTCATGCCAATCGTTTATAGATCAAATGTGAGCTGCGTCTACTTATGCAAATTCCTATTGTACTTCGTTTGAATTGTGAACTAGCTGAATCATCTGTTAGATCGGTTAATCATTCAAGATTTATAGTCATCTTATCGTATAAATATTCATTTCAGTTATCCAGTACTGATGTGCCAAGGGAGCGCATCTGGAAAGCTCAACAACTGAATATGCAATCAAATCCAGCATCATTAGTCAAAGACACAACCGATCTGCTTATGAAGCACTGCCTCTATAGTTGGGAACTTCCATAATCATCTCTCATCTCTAAGCCAAATTTCATAATTTAATTAGGAATTTTGATAATTTGTTTGTTTGTTTGTTTTTTTCAAAGAAAAAAAAAAGAGTAATATATTCCAAAGATATAAATAAGATTTCAAATTCTCATAAAAGTTCATAATAAGATTAAGAGAGAGAGAGAGAGAGAGAGAGAGAGAGAGAATATCCTTTGTTCTGTTTTATTGAGCATTTACGGTTCAATTTTCATTTTTGATCATTTGGGGTGTTTTAACATTTGTTAATAAATCATTTCTTATTGTTGTTTATAAACCATGTGATGATGATGATGATGATGATGATGATGATGATGATTATAAATAGCATTGATGATTCAGTTTGTACACTGTTGAAGACATATTAATTCTCTTCGAGGAGTTCTATCATGATGGAATACTGATCCTTGTGGACTCATTCTGCTTAATGATGCAACAAACTGAATGAGTCGCATCATCATTTTTATATAATGATATCATTAAACATACCTGCCATGGTGTACAACCAAAAAGTGAATGATCCATTGGATCAAATGTGTGAATTGGACGAGAAAATGATATGACCAAGATGCCATTAGAGTAATTGACAGATCCTATTTGAACATTATTCATCTATAAAAGAATGTATCGTTGATATTCTTTGAAAGTTATCGAACAGCATCTTATACTATCCGTTTTTTTCATTTTTCATTTATATTCATCACTTCCGACACTTTTAAAACAAACTATCTGAATGGCAATGAAACTAGAACATAGAATGAAATGCATTGAAACAAGTTTCTAGATGTTTCATTAAGGCACACATTCACAAAAAAGATGCAACAATAACGGTTTTGATGAGAATGAACAATGAAATGAGAAAAAAAAAACAAATTTTGATAATAGAAACAAGTTTATGTTTCTCGAAAATCGAAATAAGATGATTATTTCAAAAATCAAAATCCTGTTCAGTCTCAAGGACATAAAAGGTTATTGCGTCATTGATAAAGCCCTTTTCTCAATGATCCACTAGACGTAGATTGATTTTTCAAATACTCACCCTGTCTGCAACTGGCCTTGTGTATCCTCGAACGTATTCATCAGTTACAACTATGCGGCCATTCAAAATTCGAATCATAATCACATCAAGTCCAGAATTCTGAAAGTACAATGCCAGTCCTTGTTTGAATAGAGTTGAACGTGAAGTGTTTGGCAGAGGTTGTGGCTGCCGGCTTACCATTGACTGTCCGAATCCGATAGCTGTCCATGCATTATTAACCGAAGCACCCATTTGAATAGAAACACGAAAGTAAACAGTTCCATTGACAGCATTAAAAACAGCTTCATAGTTACCATAATTGAGGGCACACTGCTTTGCAGATACAGTAACTCAAAATAATTGCTGTTGTTAGAGTTGACATGAAATCTAAACATACCTGCGGCGAGAGTTAAAACAATGAAGAAGTTTGAGATCGACAACATATTGGTTCAAGTTATTATGCGACTAGTGCGAAGTAGCGTCTGAAACCTAGCCGAACCTTGAAAAACGATTTTTTTATGAATCCATAAATGAGATGGGTTGGCTTATTACACAACGCTGAAATTAATTGCCATATTGCAAATTAATTGCAGCACTTTCACTTTTTATAAATATCTGTATATGTTTAAAAAAGGAAATGGCAAGGAAGTGTCTCGTTAGGACCTCCTTCTTCAATCTCTCACATTTCACTTCTTCTAGATAGTGAGAAAGAAGCTGCCAAACACTGGTTTTTATTAAAGAATTTTTTGTATCATGACATCAGAAAATGAATAAGAATATACAATTGTATGAGAACATACATACACACACACACACACACACACACATATATAGACATATGAATAGACAGCGGTAAGTTAATGTCTCTTCTTCATCTTACAAGTGCCTCATGAAAAGTGAAAACAGTCGAGTTGTATCGTAAGAGAGGGGGTAAAAGGTGGCAATCTTAACCTCATAAACTGTTGAATACCAGCAAACAAAGCATTATTGTCACATTAAAAGATGCAGGACTAAGTGACATTAGTTCTGAAAATCAAGTTTTACAAGCTGTAACGGTTCCGCGCTCACTTTTTTTCGATGAGCTATACGATATTGCAATGTAATTTTTAGCTAAACTTCCCCATCCAAAAGAATTACGTCCTTGAACCTTAAAAAAAAGTTAGTGGAAATAAACATTTAATGTTGTAATGGCAACAACTGAACTTGAATCTCATAATTGATTTCGGGTTCAAAATAATCTTCCAATTGTATTTCACGTTCCCAACGATCTGATTGCACATTATCAGCTATAAAAAAAAAGGAAATTTGCATAATAATTAGATTAGAATTAGATGTTTACTCTGTTTTACGAGAATATTCTCAAAGTTGATCCATTCTTCATCATTCTGATATCGTGAATACAATTTGTATTCAATCATTGGAATTTTTGATTGTAAAGTCCAAAATAGAGTTTTATCTTGAAATATTATTGTTGGTGGTCCTGGACGAGCTGTAACATGTGATATTCTAGTCAAGACCTCATGTTTAATAGGATTGATGCACATGCACAAAGACTAACCGCTTGCATGTATGACAGCTTTGTCTGAACCAATAGTATTTGATACGCGACAGATATAATCACCGAAATGATCCTAAAACAAACATATCACGAGTGTTTCTCTTTCTTTATGCTCTATGTAAGCATTGCTTCTTCAAAAGCATGTGATTACCACCGTCATATTCGGAAAGTAGAGCGATGTGACATGTGAGCCATTAGAACGACGAACATGTCTTATGACAGATTGAAACAGATCAGATGCAAACTTCAACAACATTTAGTTCTCATCATTGTCACAAATTGACTTTCTCACATTTATCTTTTGACCATTGAATTGCCAGTCGGTTGACGGAATGGGAAAGCCTCCAAAGACACATGAGATAGTCTGTTCAGATCCATCAACAACACTTAGAAATGTTTCTTCAGCTTTAATATCTGGTCGTACTAAATGATATATAATATATGGATTATAATATTATATTATACCGTATACTTTGATATCTATGCATTCTTGTGATGATCCAACTGTATTAGTTGCATTACAACAATACTTTCCACTATGATCTCTATAGACAATTGGAAATATTAACTGATAGTCTTTCATATTTGAATCATTTGCCATTCTCGAATGCTGTAATACATATAATCATAAACATATGTATAGAGAGTGTTAATCTGATAAACCGAATTAAGCCATTTGATAAGTGGTTTGGGATTTCCATGTGCAATACATCGTATGACTAGATTGCGATCACCTTGTTGAGCATAAAATTCTTTTTGATTTGGTATCAAATGAACTTTCGGTGGATCTGTAAACATCATGATGATGATGATGATATGTGTATGTTTGTGTTGTTAGTGACAGATTCAAACTGACTATTGACAGATAACCGAAATACCAGTTGTTGATTTGATTCCGTTAATTCACATTTAAAAACTGTATTATCTATAGGTTCTACAGATTTTATAATTAATATACTTGTCTAAATAATATATAAATATATATATAATAGATAAGAGAACATACAGTACTGCTTCTCATAACACTATAACGTTCATCATATGATAATTGATCTTCATCAATAAATAATGTATCATTTCCTCTTTTCCATACAATTGTATTTTCATCTGTTATATCAGAAAAGCTACATGGTAATTCCAATGAGCTATATTTGATTATCTGATGAGAAAAAACATAAATATTATAGGAAATCAATAATGACATATTATGAACTTACATCATATTCTTTGTATACAACACCACATGTTGTTTGAATTGAATAGATATAGATAATGAATAAATAATATATTGAAGATAGATGCATCATGATGCAACAACCTCATACATATAATCAATATAATTACGTTACAACAATTATTGAACCAATGTGGTTGAAGTAAAATGAATGTGAGAGAAGTCTCGAGATATGAATTCAAAGCTGCTAACTGTGCTCAGCTGTTACACTAGAGACAAGGTTTTCAATTACACAAAAGTCATAAGTGAAATCAACCAATGAGATGAGAATTGTTTCTTTTCTTCATCATCATCATCATCATATTCAATTCTCATTTTCAATTGTCTTCATCTTTCAGATCTTCAATAGACTACTGATGAGTTATCGAAAGCTGATATTGATATCTCAACAACAGATACGACACACCAATCACAAATGACATGACCGAACTAACTGGATTTGACAGCATTGTCGAATAGTAACAGTGATTGTATGCAAAGTTTCATATTTGAAACCTAAAACCCTCATCAATTCTCTTTTCCCAATTTCACTCTCTCTCTCTCTCTCTCTCTCTCTCTCAACCTGTCCTTCTCACAGCAGAACAAGCCCTCATCGATTCTCCTATTTCTATCTACGTATACCTCTCTCTGTATATGAAACCTTCATTATTTCCATTCTTCCGATTCTACTATCTGTATAACAACCGTTCCTCCATTTCCTACTGTCCAACCAGCATTCCTCTTTCCCTCCCTCTCTCTTTCTATCTTTCTCTCTCTCTCTCTGTGTATAGCACAACCGTAGTCTGAATGATTTCATATTTGAATTTGTATTATTCTGACTAGTGTTATCTGTTAAATGGTTTTATGACGTGATAAATCTTGAATGTTTCAAATAAATATTTCATATAAACTAACAGTCTATGGCAATTAATCTGTATTACGAAGACGTATTAAGATCAAAACGTTTTTATTATTTGCATTTCATCTTTTGCTCCATTTCCATTCTTGAAAGCCTCCTTCCTTCCCTCCTTCTCTTTCTCTCTCTCTCTCTCTATCTCTCTATCTATCCCTCTTAAAGAATAAGCACATAAAACATAGTAGAAGACACATTCAAATTTCAAACGTATGTATACTTTGCTAACTGCGAACAACCTCTTTCATACGGAATTACACACAGTTGAAACAGTCTCCTCTTTCGCTTCTTTCAATTCGCCATTCATATACACACACACACAAACGCACTTTCTGACTTTTATTCTCATTTATAGTATTTTAAGTTTTATGTACATTTAAAGTATTACTGTAAGTTACATTTGTGTGGCGTTGCGTCTAAATGACTATCATTTACATACATTTCTTCAAATGGGTCATGACCTTGCTATCTCCAAAGTATAATTCTCCTCCATATATACGAATTTGACAATCAATCAATATTTGATCATTTCAATCTCATAACACCCCCCCCCACCACTTTCTAACCATCATCTTCTTTCCCCTACTTTCTCCTGCCTTCATCCTTTTCCGCTTATTATTTTCCGCTTTGCTTGTACACATACCGATAATAATCTTCTATATTTCTCCTGCCTATCTTTATAAACAAATAAATAAAATGAAAAAAACTCAAAGGAAAATAACAATCAACAGCTATAGCAATCACAAGACTCATCTTTACAGAGAAAGAGAGAGAGAGAGAGAGAGAGCGAGATTAAGAGAGAAAAATAAATGTTTTGCAGCTTCTGACCTTTCCTTTAATCCTAAACATGAAACGGTGTATATGAACATCTTTTTGAAGAATCAAAAAACTTCTCATCATCATCATCGTCATCATCATCATCATCATTATGTTGTCCGAATAGCAGCTGCTAATGTCAACGAGAAATAGAATGAATAAAAGTGTTTGCATAAATGCCTAAAAATCCGGTTGTTATTATTGAATGTTCTTTCTGTTTCTGTTTCTCTTGTTCTTTCATGGTATGTATTCATTCACCTCAATTTTCTCTTCATTTTCTCGCTGAAACTTTTCAACCCCCCCCCCCCCCTCTCACCTTTCTCTCCTACCTCTCTAACTCATCTCATCGTTTTCCGTACTTACGGAAAAATACGTTTTGCGGAATAGAATTCAGATGAACATACAGGTCGACATGATTTCTTTGAACTCCTTTTGCTTCTCAATTTGTTTTTCATCTATTCTTACACTACACAACCACACAATAGGCGACATGGACAAGACCCTATGACGACAATTCATTTAAATCTTCTGTGTGTGTCTTCAAAACATGTCTTTCACCTTCATTTTCACTCACAAAGTTCTTCCGCTTTATCTGCTTTCACAGTGCGTTCGTGTATCTCAGACACATTACCAAACTTCATATACATGAAATCGATTGTTGAATATGATTCATTCATATCTCTTTCATATCGTTTTCCCACCACCAATCAAATTCAACCATTTTTTCTGACACTTTCTCATATTCCAACATGTACGCAATTCAAATTAAAAGGATTTTCTCTCTCTTAGCCTATATGAGTAACAAGTTTTTTCATTTCAACTCAACAATTCAATGTCTAATAGAATATTGTCGGATGCTAGAGAGAGAATGAGATGTGAGAGAGATGTGAGAAACAAACTAATCTGAACACCCCCCCCCTCTCTTTTCAACCTTTCCTATTTTCTCCTTCTAGGCTTTTGATCATGAAAAAGCAATTGAGATACGAAAAGCAATTAAACAATTCTAAAGTACTGCACGCCTTTCTCATTTTTGATTTATCTTCCTTTTAAGGCTCTATAGCCCCATATGGAATTGTCAAAAAATGGTTCGACAACACGTTTTTGTTACATGCCACCGACTTGTCTTCATTTCTAGCTTCAGTAATCATCTCTTCCAGTTTTTTTTTCTTTTCGCTTAGTCATCATCATCTCATCCAAGCCCCCCCCCCCTCATCTCTGCTTCCTTCCTGATACTTTAATACGATTTTCAGTCTTTCCTTGTATGGCGAGGAAGCTGTTTTTCTTCTGACACATCCTTATCTGATTTTCATAATAAAAACGTAAATATCAAATGGGATGGCTGTTAAGAAAGAATAAAAAAAATGAAAAAACGATTAAATGAAAAGATAAATTTTTTTTTTCTTCATTTTATATCCAATTTCAATTGGCAGTCATTCTTTCTCATACTTATAACCCGATTGAATAATGACTGCATGATTGCAAGGACACATAGACATCGAATGGTTGGAGAAATCCATTCAGTTTCTTCTCATCTCGTCTCATCATCATAACGTCATCTAGACCCCATCAACGGAACAGTTTTGAAATTCAAACATAACAGTCCCTACTGCTCTTCTAACTGTTTGAAGAACACATTTTTCTGTTTGTCTTGTTTTCCTACAACAACTATGTTTGAATCGAGAAAAAGAAGATGATGAAGAAGCAAACGTAGTCGAATAGTTTTAGTACTCATTCTGATTTTAATCTCACTTCACGTTGTACACCGTTCACTTCACCTATCATTCTCCTCCTTCTTCTCCTCATTCTACTTCTCTTCCATCATCATCGTCTTATTCAATCTAACTGAGAATGTTATGTGAATAGATGGTTTCTTATCGCATAAAAACAAACATTCATTGTAAAGAACTCTTTTTTTTTCATTTTTCTTTTTTCTCAAAAGCAAAATGAGTTTCCAGTTTGTTTCTTCATGTCCATTTCATTCATCATATTGTGCTCTGATTCATTGTTCAGCTGAAACACCAGCTTCTGAAACTCATTGTTCACTCGCTGAATTCGTTATTTCTTAATTAACATCAACGTTCAATGATGATGTATTTTAAATTTTCTTGTTATCATCTTATGCCACCCACCTACTACTACCATCATTGCTTCTATGAAAAATGATTTTGAAATCAGCTGCGTCTCGTGTTATCATGAGATTTCATGAAAGATCCGATTAGTCATAATCATTTATATATTACGGTCATTTGTGAAAAATTTTCAAGGCCAAATTACCAAATCAAATAATGATTGTGTGAAGTTTTCGAAATTCAGCCCTGATGTTGATGATGATGGGGGGTGGGAGAGGGGGTAGTTAATGGCATTCTCGGCTTGGGCGTATCCATATCATGCTAATCTAACAGTTTCCGGAATACAGTGGCCAACTAACAAATCATTTTATATGGTGGGAGAGAGGGCGTTGTTAATGGGTGTTTATATGACATCGATAAGTGAGAAGATGCGAGTCACACCTCCTATTGAAACCTGAGAGCCTACTACTGATAAAACAACACTTCTTCCTATCTTTTCCGTTCTTTTCATGAATAAAAAAAAAGTTTCTTTTCAATTTCATAATATAGTTTGTTGAGAAAAAGAAGAAGTCATTACTATAATCTTCTTTACTTTATGCCTTCGCAAAGTATTTATTGAAGAAGCCATGACGTGTTTGACCTCCTCTCACTTCTACACATATAACTAAGCAGTAAAACAAATTTTTTCAGTTTCATATAGTAGTCGTAGTAGTGAAGTCCCTCTTAATCAAAGAGAAACTTTTTTTTTTTTGCTCTGACTCTATCCCTCTCTATTCATTGTCTTATACATCTTTTTGCTCTCAGCAGCTCATTTTCGTTTTCAAACTTTGACATGCTTATTAACGAATGTTCATTTACAGATGCCACCCGCCAAAATGGGATTTAATCGGGTTTTAGATGATTTAGCAAAGCGCCAGCTATTGCTGGACTTCCAGTTTGGGTCTGCCTCTAAGAAATATGAAGCGCAGAAAAACATTGGAGCAGGCGCTTTCGGTATTGTTTGCGAGGCAGTGGAATCCACAAGCAAACAGAAAGTGGGTTTGCTTCTACGCATTTTTCAATATGTTCGAAACAAAGTGTTCAATAAAGTGTAAACTTGAATCGTCCTTCCGATCAGAACGAAGAGCCTGATTCACTTGATTGAACAATCCGTGAGCGCCTACGTAAAAGATTTCTTTTCAAGAATAAAATGAAAAAGATGAAAATATATATTGTTTGTGAAGCTGAAATTAAGTTGAAAAACCATAGATTAGTTTTGAAATCCAGAGTCTATAGATCAGAACAGGAATACGGAAGTGTTATCTAGATTATTGCAGTTTGCTATCAAGAAAATCGGTCATGCCTCTGCAACACCCACACTGGCTCGTAGAACTTTACGCGAAATTCGCGTATTGCGGTATATTAACCACGATAACATCATACGATTGGATGAAATTTTCCGAACACCCGGACCATTGGGTACAGATGTGTTTATGGGTATGAATGAGATGATGAATGAGATGAAATTAAATCATATTTGAAGTCATGGAATTGATGGATGGAAGTTTACATCAAGTCATCTATGGCGAGCCAATAGAAGACACTCTGGTTGCTCATTTCCTACTTCAGATTCTTCTTGGATTACGGGTTAGCTCAAACATGATGTTGAACTTCCTTGCTCATTCAACTCTTGTTTACAGTACTTGCACTCAGCAGGAATTGCTCACAGAGATTTGAAGCCATCCAACTTACTGGTCAACAAAGATTGTACACTCAAGATAGCTGACTTTGGAATGGCAAAGCTGGCTGAGAAGCATCATATAGATGAAGTTGAAGAGCATTGTTTTTATATGACTCAACATGTAGCAACCTTACCCTACAGGTACTATCTATCTTTCTTTCTCTTTTATTTTTTTTTTTATAAAATTATTTGTTATTATGAACAAACCTCTTAAGAGCACCCGAATTATTATTTGTAATGTCTCAACATTCAACGGCTGTAGATATGTGGGCAGTTGGGTGCATTCTGGCAGAAATGTTTTTACGTCGAGAATTATTTTCTGGAAGAAGTGTTTCAGTACAAATCAAAATTATATTAAATATGCTAGGTGCACCAGAAAATCATGTAAGCTGGCTATAAGCTATAAGCTATATATAGATATATTTATCCATCTATAGATTATTGAACAAATTAAATGCGAAAGAACAAGAAAATCCATTGAGAACTATAGCGATTCGACTTGCCGGTCATGGTCTGAAATAATGAAAACAAATGATCGAATTGTAAGGAGATGTTCTTTCATGCTTCTTATAGCTATATCACATTCATTGTAGGTTCCAAAGAAGGCATTGGATCTGTTATCGCAGCTTTGTGAAATGGATCCCTCACATAGAGCAAAAGTAGATGACACTATTCACCATCCATTCATTCAACAATACAAGCCTGGAATCAAACCGCAAAGAACGTGCCCATTTAAAGTCAAAATGGATATGGCAGCTGTCGAATCGATGAATCATCAAGAGCTCACACAAGCATTGAACCAAGATGTTTTGTCTCATAAGTCTTATACATAACATATCCTCACACATATATTTCATGTATTACCTTTATAACTTCATTCTCTGTCAATAAATATTATTTTTGTTTCTTCCATACATCTTCTATATCTCTCTCTCGAATCTTATCCTCCCTCTCTCTCTCTCTCTCTTTCTTTCTCTCTCTCTTTTTCCTCCCTCCTTGTTATGTCCCTTTTTCAGATGAAATTGATTGAGAAATTTCTTTTCATAGCTCTTTTCTAATCTGGTAAAAGGTTTTGAAAAGCCTTTTGAAACTCATTTCCTGCATCATTTATTGAGGAGCATGAGAGTAGAAAACTCTCTCCTCGCAACTCTCACCTTTTTTCCATTCCATAATAGGTGATGAAGTACTTTTTGTTAAAAATTCTTGTTCAACAAGAATAAGATTCAATTTTCATGCTCATTCTTCTCAAAGTTCACGCTTGACTAAACCATTTTTACTAATTCATTCGAGAAAAATTTCGTTTTCCATTAACTTCACGTCGTCTCAAATCATTTGTACTTTTAATCTTTCGTTGTTCAATCCTCATGTTGATGCATTAGTATTAGAAGTAATTGAGATAAAGACACCAAACCATTATATAAGCTGCTTGGTTGTTAGGCTTTGAAGCTTTTTTTCCATTAAGACTTTGACGTCTCAAAAGTCATTTGGCTGGATTTCAAAAGGGAATCATGCTTGAATTGAAGTAGCTTGTATCTCTCGTACGACACGACGAGACAAGATTGTGCATGATGATGATGATGATGTTAGCTTGAAGAGAATAAAAAAAGAGGAACAACTCCATCCACGGAATATATATATGAGATGGTTCATGAGCTTTTCCGTTTCAATACCTCCTATGTCAGTCTTGTCTCGTCTTCTCGTCTTATGTTGGAAAGTTTTCAATATATTTTCAAGTCAACCAACACAAGATTCATATCGTTGAACAAACTCAGTCTCCATTGACTATTGTCTATCTCTCTTCTTTGTTTTTTTTTTTTTTTTGGTCCAAGGGAGGGAGATAGAGAAACGAAGGGAGCTAGCGAGAGATCTCTCAAAATAACTATTTCAATTATTTTCCATCTCGACGTTTTGTTTTCGGTTAGATATATATAATGACAAAAAATTTGAAAGATGCTAACTATAAGACTAAATTAGTTCCATTCGACATATTCCGGTTAACATTTTACTTTCTGAGTAGGAAATGAAAATCTTTCTTTTTTTCTGTTTTTATCTGTCTTTTTCTTCTTTTTGCGCGATTTTGGTCAAATAGAGTATCTTCATGTTATTGCAATGGCGACGACATCATCAGTTGTGTGGTGATAGCTCTCTTTCATAAATTAAAATATGAGAGCTTTTCTCTCTCTCTTCAGCTTTATGCTCATCATACTATTCTGTTATGGAGATGACGAGATGAAGAAGATGAAGAAAAAAAAAGTTGATTATGAGCTTTCAAGCATTCGAAGTATATATATTCAGATTTTAATATGCAAATTCTATTAGATCTTTATATGTATGTGACAAATATTATGCATGTGACAGGAGAGAACTGCCTCTCAAAACATTAGCAACATTCGCAACATTTTTCATTCATGAAGATCCCATTAGGAAGACAAAACATTTTCTGGGTTTCCCCTTCTCTCCCCACCTCTCCATCTCCATCTCCATCTCCCCCCCCCCACCCCTAACTTTAAATCCTAATGAACTTCTCAAAGAGAAAAGATCTTTGATTTTCAGAATATATTCTTTTAGAAAATTCTCTTTTCAACTTTCCATCTGAAGACACACTGAAGCCCAAGTTTGGTTTTATTCATTCTGTTTCCTTTCATTTCTTGAAAGAGAAAACTACAATGTCACCTTGTCTCCACACTAATTCATATACCTTTTTAAACTTCAGTCTAAACTTTAAAGAAATTACTCAGCAGCATAGGAATAGATACAATGGTTTCCGTTTGAACCTCCCCCCCCTCTCCTCTCTCTCTCTACTTTTTTTCCGGTAGAGGTAAAAGGCTCTAATCTGATTCTACTTTCTCTCTCTCTCTCTATACTCTTATCTCTTTTTCTCTCTCTCTCTCTCTCTCTCTCTCTCTCTCTCTCTCTCTCTCTCTCTCTCTCTCTATAGCTAACTACCCATGCTTCATCATCAAAAATACTATTTTCCTTAAAATTTATTGAATTTTACTTCCTATTCTACTTTTCAATTTTATTCTTTAAGAGAATTTTTATTATTTACTCAGAGAGACCAATTCACTTGTTGAAATGAAAATTGTGTGTGTGTGTGCATGTGTGTTGAGGGAAGGAGCTCCTTTCATGGCAGTTCAGTCCAGAGGGAAGGCAAGAGGAGGGAGAAGAGATTTGATTTCACCCTCAATTTCATTTATTATATAAGTTTTATTTAAAATATGAGCAAAAAAAACTGAATTTAAAAAAAAAAGAAAAAAAAAGAAAAAAAGAAAAAAAGAAAGAAGATGTATTAGGGGTAATATCAAATTACATTTTTAGGATGGCGAATTATGAGAGTGTGTGTACTTTTTGAATTTGATCTTCTAAAAGCTATTCAAGCATGTCAAGTCACAATTGTATTAAATTGAATGATCTTTTCTATATTCTTTAGAACATTTCACACTTTGCCCTCTTTCTCATTCAATCTCTCTCTTACTCCAACTCTCTCTATATCTCTCTTTCTCTCTCTTTCTATCTCTATCACACTCTCTATCTATCTAAGAGTTACTAAGTGTTATTATAACTTGAGCTTTTTCATTATTCTATTTGAGTATATCATGTGATCAGAAAGATTAATTAATAAAAATATCTTTCAATTTCAATACATTTCATGGTCATGACCAATTTTCGGCAACATTTTCTGTGCCTTTATCTATCTGTCACTGGCAATTGTGCTCAGTCAAAGTTTGGCCAATAGTCAGATGCAAATGGAAAATTTTTCGTTTCGCAACACCCCACCGCCACCATCAGTAGCAGCAGTAGCAGCCTAACTTCTCTCTCACATTCTATCTTTCTATCTTTCAGAAGATTTTTTAATTAGTGAATGCTGACAACCGTTTTTTTACTTTTCTCACTCTCAAGCTTCATTTACTTAACAATTCGTATATATATATGTATATATTTTAATTTTTTTTTGTATTAAAATCACAGCTTTGTTAAGCAATGCGTTGGCTTTCTAAGGAAAATCTTCTTCTGCTTCTGACCGTTTGCGGTGTCATCAGTGGAACAATTCTGGGAATAAGTTTAAGAGATCCCGAAGTATCACTTACATGCTTATATATCAGATGTTCTATCTAACATATGATTATTATAGACAAAATGGAGTAAACGGCATTTGAGTTATCTTCGCTTTCCCGGAGATGTTTTCGTACAAATGCTGAAAATGCTGATTCTTCCACTGATAATGTCAAGCATTGTGTTAGTTCAGAGTTATACGAAGATTATTCCATATGGGATATTCAAAGACTATTGGAAGAGATCCTTCACTTTATTATTAAACAAATGATGTTTAACAAGCATAAATTCAGAACAAGTTTGGCATCTGTCGATTCGAAAACAGCTGGAAAATTGGGAATGATATCCCTTCTCTACTACTTTATAACAACTATGATTGCTGTTATAACAGGTGTCTTGAACATTTAAATAACCTTTCATTCATTTCTGATCTTTGATAGGAATTATTCTTGTAACTGCTATTGAACCAGGAAAATGGTCCATCACCAATGTGGAGGAGCTTGTTGGAGAAGTCCACCAGGCTCCCTGCATTTCGAACGCTGTTGATACAATTCTCGATTTGGCCAAGTTAGAATACATCCGAAACAGTCCCATTTATCAATTTCAGAAATTTATTCCCTGAAAACTTGATTGAGGCTACTTTCCGATCTTACAAAGTTTGCATGAAATTTTTGAATGGAACACAAAAAGTCAATCCGGACGTCGTTCTTGGATTAAGCGCTGGTGAGACGCTTCATGAGAGAAATATATACTGAAGAAAATATTCAGAGCAACGTTTGAAGTTCACTGAAGTTCCGGAAAAGATATCATCAGATGGTATGAATATCCTGGGACTGGTAATGTTCAGCGTTGCTATTGGTATAACCCTCGGATATATTGGAGAAGAAGGAGCTGCGTTGAAGGCTGTATTCAAAAGCTTGGAATCTGTTAGCATGAGACTTATATCACTTGTTATATGGTAGGATAGCAAGAGTTGCTAACATTTATTATAACGAATCCTTTCAGGTACTCACCAATTGGAATAACTTTCCTGATCGCTTCGCAAATTGTTGGTATGACTGATCCCGGAAAAGAACTGCACCGTTTGATGGGCTATATGATCACAGTTCTATTGGGTCTTTTCCTACATGGACTGGTTATTCTTCCAATCCTCATGATTGTGTTAGCACGACGTAACCCAATCAAATATGTGGCCGGAATGGCTCAAGCACTTCTGACAGCTTTGGCAACAAGTTCTAGGTTTGTCCTTTCTGATTAGTTCTTCTGAACTTGTTTTGAAGCTCCGCCACATTACCATTATCGATCAAATGTGTAGAAGAAAACAATGGAGTGGACAGTCGAGTCGCCAGATTTGTCTTGCCTTTGGGAGCAACAATGTAAGCTTCATCGCCTTCTCTGTTGAAGCAATATATTTCCATTACAGTAATATGGACGGAACTGCATTATACGAAGCTGTTGCTGCTATTTATATCTCGCAGTGTGTTGGTTTGCAACTCTCAATTGGTCAAGTTATCTTGGTCTCTCTTACTGCCACGTTGGCCAGCATAGGAGCAGCTGGAATACCTCAAGCAGGTTGAATGAAGTGATTAAAAGCAAATGAATGAAAAATATTTAGGAATTGTGACAATGATCATGGTTCTAATTGCAATAGGCTTACCTTCAAATTTGTTTATTCTGATTTTCCCAGTTGATTTCTTCCTTGATCGCATCAGGTTGTTTGTAGCTCATCTTTCTTTTCATTCGATTTCTTTCCAGAACAACAGTTAACGTACACGGAGATGCGATTGGAGCAGCAGTCGTGGGACGATTGTGCGAAAAGTTCTTAGCACAAGGTACTTATGAATAACTTATAATACAACATACACATTTGAGATTCAGGCAATCCTCATATTGAAGATGGCTACAGTGTACTTGCTGCTTCACCTGAAAATAATAAGAAGAACATGATAGGCAATATGAAAAGTAATGCGCAAATGCTCTAAATATTCTTTTCTTATTTCCATTCCAATTATATTAATTTTCATTGAATGAATTGTATTTCATGTTTTGTGTAGCATCTCAAATCCTCTCTCTCTCTCTATATATATATATATATCTCTCTCTCCTTCTCTCTCTCTCAATGTGAGAATAGCTTGATTTGTCTCGATCATTATAAAGATGTGAAATTCACACAATATATATAAATATATATATACGATATAACTTGATCTCTATATTCATCTATTGAATGATCTATGTCTAATATTACATGAGATAAATTTTGTGGTAGTTTTTTATTGTTAATTCTTTTCTAAAGATAGAAATGGAGCGAAATAAGGAAAAAAATAAAAATAACAATTCAAATGTACAATTACAGATGATGTGGCATGTGCTTTGCTTTGGTTAATTCACCCAAATACTCGTCAACTTCGGTTTTCATCGGAGCATCGGCTACCAGCCATGACTCTTCGATTGGATTTGGTATATTTTCTTGACACAACGGACAACGGAACTGAGGACGATATTCTGATTCATGAGTGATACAGACTAAGCAAAATGAATGAAGACATGGCAACATGATCTGAATGAATGATTATGAATGTATAACATTTAGATTGATACCTCATTCTTATGTTCCATACAGATAACACAAAGACCTTCATTGGAAGCACTACAACGCGATAAAGTTGTTGATTGCCTGTTTAGCGATCACTTACCTCTCACCCAGTATCATTGTACTTGTTGTCCATTGATCGGTACTAGATACGTTTGTTATAGATTTCATATCGTATGCATTCATGAAACTTTCAAAATCTAATAATTTGCAGCATTTTATTTCTTTTTTATTTTTCTTACAAGATATCTAAAAGGAAAGGATGCATTATACTGTTTCCGACCTTATTTCTCTCTCTTACCTGAAAACAAGCAACACAGACGTTTTCTTTCCATGAAACAAATGAATCAGAATCTCTATGAAGTGTGAACAACAGGCTTGTATTCCCTTCCAGAGGGACTGTAGCAAAACTGAAAAGCATGCGTTCAAAGCTGAAACAAATCACACTTACTATTTGTTCATTTCATCGATGTAATCAAAAAAATCCTGCTTTGTGATATTCTTCCTCAAACGTAAGTTTGAAGTTTTCAATGTTGACTTTCGATTGCCCATTTGGAATTATTGTCACATGTGGTAAGATTTGAAAATACAGATAATACACCCAAGTTTCGCCCTTTTGCTACGGGCCGTAGCTAGATCTTTCCACTCAAATAACTCTGAAAAAAACAAAGAATCTGTTTAATAGAAACACACAATTAGTTTTAGAATAATAAAAATCAGAAATGAAAAGCACAGTACTGTTGCAATTAGAATAGTAAATGAGGATTCTATGAGATGGATGCAAAGGTTTCACCTCGTGAAGCCGCTCCTCAAAACAACAATATCAAAAAGGTTTGGACTGATACTATGCTGAGAATAGAAAATTGGAAAAGAACGAGAGATGTTGGACTGATAATCATGGAACGGAAGCATTACTCATTCCATCCATCAATAACCAGTCGGTCAATCACAGGTTTTACAGAATATGGATTGTCAATGATAGAAATGACTGTTCACCTTGTTATCTTTCAGTTTAACGATTGAAACATATTAAAATGAAAGTAGAAGATGATTTGATACAGCAACAGTCACTTCAACTAACAGCTCAATCATAGGCTTATGAGAATGTATTTATAATGAATGAGGTTAATCACAAATGTGGTATCATACAACAGAATAAAGGAGAAATTGATAAATGATAACTATGAGCTGAAATATGGTGTACACTGTGATCAACTAGTTGGGTCGTCACATGTTATTTTGGAGGCCAAGTCGATCGTTTCAAGACCCAGCGCAAATGAAACACGAGGGCGACTATTGATTCAACGATACACGTGAAGCGAGAATGCTTTAAATACTCAAATTACAAATATTAAAAATTAGAATAAATATAAAAGTTAAATGTTATATCCGTTTTAATAATGAAAAAGGAATTATACAAATTCTTTCTGCGTTTTCATTACATCGGGCGTACGTACATCTCGGATGACTCATTAACGATTATGATAGAAAATAGATAGTAAGCTGATACGCAAGAAGAGAAGAACAATTTGTAAATGTAATTGTCCAAGGTAGGGTTGGTCGGATAAATGATATAACAGGAACATAACTATCAAAGAACCAATTAAGATTGATATTCAGTAGTCTCACAACACTGAGGCAACAGAAATTGAATAAGCAACTTGACATAATAAAATAACTTCTAAATAATATTTAAAAATATTATGTATAAATCATGTATTATTATAAAGATTAACTTATAAAATTCAATAGCTTGCTTTGCACCACTGAAACGCCTTTACCCACCTTAACGCGCCCAAACGCAATTAGCGCTAGTGTCACTTGTGCGCCCTTCTACTTACCTCAATACGTATATGAAAGTAATATGAATCTTCATGTTTC